AACGAAGGGGTTTCCTTGAATAGAATATCCTGAAGAGTTGGACCAAGCAGTAGGTAAAACGTTACGTTTTGAGATTTACAAACTTATTAATTTTATTTGGAAGAAGGACCACAACAATAGATGGTAATATTACTGCACCTGCGTGGACTTCGGTGCAAAATAAAGAATAATACAATAAATATGTTTATTGAAATCGCGGAGAATGTTAAGTAGTTGAAACAAAAACTACATTGAACAAAGTGAGCCAGTAGTTGGTAATTTATCTACCCTTAAGTAATCTGAGGGTTCGTCACCTTGATTTCACTTTCCGTTTTCCAGTCGTAGACTATATGTAGCATGCTAGTTTCTTACGGTGAGGTGTTGTATGCACCCCCCTCACTTCCGCCCAGCCCCCAAGTTAAACTTTCACCCGCTCTAGGCTGTCGGCAGCATACTGGCAACTATACCCTCCGTCTCGTCCATCCACAATCCCAGAACGCGCACTGTCATGGTGACAAGGGTCTCGCTTAAGAGAGTAGTAAAATACTCAGTTTTGCTAAGATATAACAGCACAGGCAATTAGGAAGTTTTTTGTTTTTGTTTTTCTCGATTTAAAATATCTTTGTACCACAAGCCTGTTGCGAAATTAACACTTTTGTCAGGCAGGAGACCTGACAAACAATCTTATTTTTCACTCCCCTGTTTTTCGTGCTTTGAGTTGTATGCAGTCCCCCGTAAAGAAATCCCAATTCGACCTTGTATTCAATTTATCGCGGTTCGGGTGGGGGGGCTTTCTTTCCCGTCCGGAACTTAAAGCTGACCACTCACTTTCACCGAGTGACGAGGGAGGTTAGGAACACGTGTAGAATTACCGTCACTAGCCCATATAAAAGAGGAAGCACAAAATTGACATTTTCATGGCGCGGGTGACACACGTTCAGTCTATATGTGATTTAGACGAAAATTAATGAATCTTCATGTCTAACGTAGAGTAGGCCGACAGTGTTCAAACGTTGTTTCCATACCGCTTACAAAACTCAGACGAGGTAGCTCAGTCAGTAGACCGGTGTTCGATTCCATCCAGAGGCAGAAATTTATACCCTTCGCCAGCGCATCCAGATCTGCTCTGGTATCCAGTCTGCTGTTCGAGATACATTTACATATTTTTATATAATAAGAATGGAGATGTAGTTCCTTTAAATTGCCTCTGTGCCACAAGTGCATCGTAGAGCAGCAGATATTAATTTGTGGAAGAGGCTGTTAGTTATGGAACCCGACAATACAAAATCTGACTACTGGTCATTATCCTCAGTTAGTTAATCCAATTCACATCATTGCTGTCTAGTTTTCTGGCGTATTATTCTCCCATTTACGCGTGCCTGTCAGTGTAATTCAATAAAAATTCGAAACCCATTACATGCAATAATTAATTATTTTACCATTCTAAAAATACTACATGTTTCAATTCGTTTTTTGTTGTTGTAAAATTTATACAATATTACATGGTAGGTCCTGTTGATGGAGGCAGCAAGGACCTCTGAAACGCCGGTAAACTTTTATCTGGCTAGACGACGCAACAACCGAGAAGGCAGCTATCTTCGAATTTTTTACGGTGTTATCATAAGGAATAAAAACGATTTGCACAGACCAATATCCGTCTTCCACGTTTTCAAAAATCAAAATCTTCAACAAATGAGGCATTTAAAGTATCATTAAAATATTCCTAAATACACACGCCTTTTACTGTGTTGTATAGCAGTGGGTTTAGTGATACATTTTAATGTGTTTATGCTAAACTTTTATTGTTTGTGTTAAATTGCACTCGTCTGTATGTTCTGTACTTCACGACTTATTCCACAGCCTGTAGCCAAATTTGACTAACTTTTGGATCCATGGAATATACATATGTATGCATGTACGAGGTGCGATCGGAAAGTTTCCAGACTGCGCGTATAAAACCCCGTACACTTATCTCAGGTATTAAATTCATCCATCACCCTCGAAGTAGTTCCCCTGGGAGTGAACACAACGATCCCAGCGCCGCTGCCAAGCCTGGAAGCATCCCTGGAAATCTTTCTTTGTCAGCCTGTCAAGCACCATCTGCGATTCTGCCTGAATCTCTTCTATCGTCTCAAATCGCCTTCCCTTTAGCTGAATTTTCATCTTTGGGAAGAGGAAGAAGTCACACGGAGCTAAATCCGGCGAATAAGGAGGGTGCGGGATGACGGCCAGGGTGTTTGAGGCCAAAAACTGCCGAACTTTGAAGGCGGTGTGCGCTGGTGCGTTGTCATGATGCGTCGCATGTGGAGTTCTTCCCTTAGAATCAGCTGACAGGTCCCATAGCCTATCCCAACAATGTCGCACAAGTCGTTGATGGTACGACGTCGATATTCGTAACATTTTCGGGCGTTGTGCTCGAAGATGGTCGTCCAGAACGCTCGTCATCATCGACAGAGGTTCGGCCATTTTTAAAACGTGAATGCCACACAAAAGCTTCCAGGCTTGGCAGCGGCGCTGGGATCGTTGTGTTCACTCCCAGGGGAACTACTTCGAGGGTGATGGATGAATTTAATACCTGAGATAAGTGTACGGGTTTTTATACGCGCAGTCTGGGAACCTTCCGATTGCACCTCGTATGTACGATCTCACTAAGGCTCGATCCCTTTATATTTTGGATTTATGCTTTGTTGTGGATGAGTATTGCTGACTATTTCAGTGGAACACTTTCAAAACAGGCCTCGACTTCTTGCACGAATGAACGCCAATGGATGATCCAATGTCTAAGACTTTTTTATACAATTTTTCACTGCTGATTCGTGATAAAACGTCCTACGTTACATGCGTGCACCATATAATGCGCAGGACAAATATGATATTCGAGGTTTTCACGGAGGTGAAGATGTCAAGGATGTTTCTTGAGCACGTGGTAGGACACTGTGGGTGGCGGGCTATCAAACTGCAAGGCAAAAATGGGAGATGTTTGAAATATCGACGCATCAAGTCAAATGTCCGTGATCTTATTCCGCGGCTACTCAAGTAGCCATAACGATATGCCATATAATTAAATGCAGAATTCAATTCCGCGTCTTCTGCAATTATTCTCTAATTGAATGTTTTGTGTTAATGCTGTGTTAAATATTCAAGAATTTGCTTTACAAATTCAGTGAGAGGTTAAGTAAATGTACTAGCCTACGTGACTTGAGAGTCGTCATATGATGGCTGTCCTTCAAAATTGAATTGTAAAGGTTGTCAGTACGTAATACTATGAGTGGTAAGAAACCAAAATACTTTTACTTCCCATCCGAAAGACCAACATTTTCTGGAATAGAACAGATGTCAAATACTTACGAAATTGTAATCACAACCTTGCATGCATGTAGTTAAATCGGTGACTGGCGTTTGAATATAATGCGAGACGAGTTTTCAAACTTGATTTTTTTTTTTTGGTTTAATCGATTTATTAACTCATTTTTGTGAAAGAATAGGACTGACACTTGTGCACGGTTGAATTTTTTTATACATGAAATCGAGACTTTATATAATACTAAAGTGGTCTAACAAATTTCCAACAATCAGAGAGTTTAACGATATTTTTCACATATTATAACGTAGCTCTGAGGCCTCACATTTCCTGAAATATTGTATAAAATCACCGTTCCTTCATTCTAAGAACATGTTTTTTCAAGCAAGAGCAATGAGTTTGTAGAACTTTAACCGGGTCAGTTTGATGACCATGGAGGCGTTCAGGGCTACAATTTTGTTATCGCCGAGAAAAATATCACAATGCCGACATGAAAGGTTAAAATGCAGCTTCGTATAATTACAAATTCCACTTCTTGAACTGTTCAATGTTTCTTCTTGTCAAAAGCCAGTTCTCAGGGCTATTTCTTCAAAACTTAGTAGTAGAATTATTAATTATAATATATTTATGACTTCTTCTCATGTACTTGTCATAAACTACATGTACTGAATATATAAATTGCATTTTTCTCAACATAACCTTAAAATTAGTACGAAATGTTTGCAACTGAGGTCAAATTAACTTACGGGAAGTTCGATTAGAATATTCGAGGCTGCAAAGAAATTTCTGAATGTTGTACATAATTTAATTGTTGACAATGAATGAACGAAATTGAAGTTATTCCAGTGGCCCCATGAACGATAAAAGACAGTTATTTTCTGTAGTTATTTTATTTCCCCCCCCCCCCCCCCCCAGCTCCAGTAATACAAACTCCATTTGATATATATCGCTACAGCATCCCTGTGTAGACCAAGAAAGTTCCTAAACTCTTACAGAGACGAACATTACAACAGATTTTTAATACTGGATCAGATAGTCGCAGAGCCTCTTGCATCACTGTATCAAACAAAATACACGGACGAACGCCCTTGCCCAGGTGATGTTCGAACCCACGATCCCAAGTACATCTGTTGATATCAGATTTTGTGGCCACAGAGAATGGCAAAACGTTCTGTAAAATACAAGGAAGACGACGTTTTCACCGTAGGTAGTGTTATTATACCAGTACCCGCCACTGTTACAAGTGAAATTCTTTTGTCCTAAAAAAGTTCTGATAGAACACGAAACCAAAACATAAATATAAGACATAAAAGGGAATAAAACAGAATGGATTTTGTATGATGTGAAACTTTCACGTTGTATGCCATTATTGAAATCTTCTCTGACCACTTGGTTAAAGCCTGGCGACGTTTCGAGGGCCATCTCTGTCCTCTGACCGGCTAATCATGACGCGGCTGATGGCCCGAGAAGATTTTAAGAATGGATTTTATACGATGTATAAATGAGAGAAGCAAAGGAAATTTGCATTTCAGATATTTTCATAATTCGAGATTAGTAATTGTCACGTGTCTGCTTTTCTTAATCAGATTATTTGACAACAAGGTAGTTGGATTTTAATGACGTGATATATTGTGTGTGATGTGTCGTGGCCATCAACTCTGTACAATGCTACAACATTAACGCAGTCTGAATAACGAAAGTAGCTGAAGTTTCCGGGTTATCAGTTGTCAGTCCTGTCTGAAATGTGTGAACAAGAACTGCAGTATTAAAGTCCTGTGATTTATGGCCATGAAATTTTTAAAACAATCCACGACATATTTCTTTTACAGTTAATTGTAAATTAATCTTGACAGTGCATCTGAGAGGGATTCCTGTCCTAAACTAGCTTAACACTTTACTGTGACACGCCGTAAAATGAAAATCTTAATTTTATATTAGTTTCTGTCAAAGGGAAATTGATGCTGTGTTTTTTCCTGCGAGAAGCTAAAATACGCTCTGTCTGTGGATAACGCTCTAAAATCTGTGTTGAAGAAATCATTTAAGAACATTCATAAGTGCAAAGGAAATTCTTAAGGGAATATAGAGCTTAGTATACCAAAACTATGTGACAAGGCTTCGAGAACCCCTGAAGAATTAATGTAAAATACAGCGTGTTTCAAAAGTAGCTTTACAATTTGAGGGCGAGATATTGATGAACTGATAGGAGAAACATATAATTTCAGAACATAGAAATGTAGTCAAACACTTCAAGTTTTATGTCCATCGGATTTTTATGGTTCAATGTGACTTCCATTTGTTATGCGGCAGACGTCCCATCTGTAGTCAATATCTTGCCACGCGCGGTGTAGAATCTCCGGTGTCACTTCAGCAACTGCGGCGGTAATTCGAGTTCGGAGTTCGGCCACATTTGCAGGTTAGGGTGGCACGTACACTCGATCTTTAACAAATAACCACAAGAAAAAATCTAAAGGTGTTAGATCCGGGGAACGAGGTGGCCATGCTATTGGTGTGGCCCGACCAATCCACCGACCTGGGAAACGGTTGTTGAGGTACTCGCTCACTTCTCCGAGGTAATGACGGGGTGAAGTGAATGCGTCCTTCCTGGTCATCTTCGTCAAGTTGAGGAATGAGGATCTGTTGGAACATGTCCAGATACACAATGCCGGCAATGGTCTTCTCCATGAAAAAGAAGGGGCCGTACACTTTATCTTTGCTGATGGCGCAAAACACATTAACTTTTGGACTTTCACGAACAAATTCCAGGAAGGCGCGTGGATTTTCACTACCCCAAATCCTGCACTTGTGAGTGTTGACCTTACCAGTTGCATGGAACGTGCTTTCGTCACTGAAAATTACTGAGTCCAGAAATCCTTCGTCGTCTTCAACCCGCCGCAACATTTCCGTACAAAATTCCTTACGAGCCAGTTTATTGCCATCTGAAATGGCTTGCACCATGGATAATCTGCACGCTCTTAAGTGTAAACGTCTTCGTAGCACTCGCCACACAGTCACATGTGGAATCCCACTTTCCCGAGATACACGTCTCGTTGACTTGCGTGGACTTCGAGCGAAACTCTCCCTAATCTGTTCCACGGCGTCTTCAGAAACACGGTTTTCGGTACTACAGTTTATGCGCATGAAACTTGGTGTGTTTGGCTAAATTTGTGCATTTAAAAATATTGCGCAAGTCCTTTAAATAAATTTATATTCTCCTGCGAAGTTGTAAAGCTACTTTTGAAACGCGGTGTATAATGTATAAGTAAAAGGCCACAAATTCGGTATTAAAGACTCCATAAAGGATGTCTGAAAGGCAAAGAAATGACGATCCACGTGGAACTCGCTTCTTGTATGAACCCCACAGCCATCAAGGATAGAAATAAATTTCCTCATGTCATCGCCGGTAGTGCGGTGTCTCCTAGAATTCCGCACGTACACCATGAGGTAAGGGCTCGGAGTGCGACCTTGCGTACAAAGAGCACTTACACGTGCTATTGTGGCAAACGTTGTCAACAATTACAGAGTCACGATGAGTTCACTTAATGCTCTTTTACGCCGATAGATTAGGAGGACAGAATCGTTCTTCGTTACTATTCATAGTTTGTATGGACGCAATTATTTTCTGAGCCTTATGTTAGTCACTGCACACTCATTAGGCTTGAATCTGTGTATAATACATTTACCTATGTAATAAGTCTGTATTTAGTTGCTGAAATTTACAATACGGATAGTTCATACGAAGGTTAAGTGAACTATCAGCATAATGTCATAAGGTATATAGGACCCTTGATGACACACATCTGCGAAACTGGAAGAAGAAAGCTTTTAAAGTAGACAGGCCTGCTCGTGTTATTTGTACTCGCGTGGTTTAAAGCGCTAGTAACCCAGAGCTTCATTTAAAATTGTGTTGTGTTCAGTTATACGGTGAATACTGGTACGCACCAGCTGATTCAAGGTCCTTACAGTATTGAGGAGTGGGGTGGGGAACTTGCATCAAAGCATATCCTGACTTTATGCATTCTGAGAATGGAGATTTAAAGCTCTCGGAAAATTGTTAGCAACTGTATCTGGTAATGTGGTAAATTCATAAATTATCTACTTTATTTAACACATTATATGAAATACTAGAGGTTTACGAAGAAAAAAAAAACAATTGTGGTGACTTGAAGTAATTCCTTGGATCAGAAAACTTTTTGTGAAGTTGATAATCGCTGATCTGGTCAAATTGATATTTTATGTAACCCTGAGTTTTATGACCATGTTGACAAGAGCCTAACTCTTAATCCTATCACGAGGAATCCAGTCCACACTTCTACGCTCTAGTTATTTGAGGGTTATTTTAATACAGTCCCATGTACGTCTGTCTCCCAAGTGGTCAATTTCCTTCAGTAGGATTTGAGGTTTCCACCGCGGTGAGTCTGAAGATGGTTGTCTTCTGGCTTGCAGCGCCATGTAGTCTGGTAGAAGTTTACCGACGTTTCAGAGGTCGTTAATGCCTCCATTATCAGGGTGATCATCGCCGTGATGATTGACTACTTGGCTCAACAACCCAGAAGACAGCCATCTTCAGTTTCCTTCAGTTTTTCCGACTAAAATCCTTTCCTTCTCCCTTGTAGCAATGTCCTTACTCCGTGTTGGTAATCAGTCACAATTGTGTGTTGGGCAAGGTAAGGCATTCTGATAAGAAACTAATCTTAAATTACGCGTTGGAGGTGTTTTGTTTTAAATATGTCTTGGTTATGAAACTGTTTTAGAGTAGAACCGTGAATATTGATAGTTCCCCTTTAAGAAGCCGGCTCATTTTTGGAAATATTAAAACAAAAGTTGCGAATTGACTGGTTTTAACACCTGTTGGCTAGACGGCAGGTGCCCTGTCCCAAGATGACAGTCATTTTTTCACGTGTTCCCACGTTTTTTATCCTTATCTTGTGGTTCCTGGACCTCTGCACTTTTATTCTGAAGTTAACTTTCTTGCTGATTCACAGTGTTATCGTAGGCAGTAATATCAGATTATGATTTTTGCCAGTGCAAGACAGAAGTCTGGATGTTACGCACCAAACGCGTTCTTCTGATATGAATATTTTCTTATGAGAGTACTGCAGAAAATCGTAACTAATCTGTGACACGCGACAAATGTGCAGTTTTTTTCCAAACCACATGTAGGCCACGTGCACTAACACATCAGCAAATTACCATGTGACGTGGGCTGATAGGCGGCCGACTTGGGATTGTGTTATCAGTTTGTTAGCCCTACGTACAGGTGATGCATAATCAGAAACTGTAATGTAAATATAGTTCAACGTAGAACGGAGGTTACAAGTTCTCTTTCTCAATCTTCTAAGGCATTTTCATGTTTAAAGATAATAGCTTGACTTTGACGGACAGATTTAGAATGTAATTTCTGTGATGACGTTTACTAATGCATTTTGTATCAATGCGTGTGTATAAATATGACAAATACCGTATTTGCACGTGAACAAGTAAGATTTGGGGAATTTTTCTAACGAATATCATAAGTGCATCATTCATTAAACTGAATTTCCTTCTCAGTACCGCAACATTAACTAAAATAAGTGACTGGCGAATATAAGAGTAGGGATTTAATATTGTTCACGAATTTGAACCAGAATTTGCAAAAGCGTGCGAAAGTACATGCTACATTGATCAAAGTACCACAGACTCTGTTGGAATATTATTTGCATGATTTTGAAAAAGAAAATTATTTAAATAAAACTGTAAATCCACATATTCCTGAAGAATGTTTTCTTTCCCACTTACAGGAATTACGTAAGTCAGAATTAATCCTATATGTGGAGAAATGGTTTCCAGTTCGTTTTACACGTCCTAGACAGAACTTATAACATCATTTATACGAGGCTCGTCCACAAAGTAAGTTTCCCTGGGGCCGTTTACAGAAACAAAACACAATTTCATGGAAATATTTATTGCAACAGATACAGCAAGTATCCAGCTATTCGCCACCGGAATTGAGACATTGGTCATACCGTGGGACCAATTTTTGAATACCTGTGTCGTAGAAGTCTGCCGCCTGGGATTGGAACCACTGTGTGACAACCATCTCCGCCTCTCTGTCATTCTCAAAACGCTGACGCTGACCGGACAGGAATTTCTTGAGGTGTAGGAAAAGATGGAAATCACTGGGAGCGAGGTCCGGGCTGTAGGGTGGATGATTAAACACCTCCCAGCTGAACTCCTGCAGGAGACTTGCTGTCCGTCGAGCCGTGTGCGGCCTAGCGTTATCACTGACCGCACTTCACAGTCGGCGGGAGCTGGAATAAGAACCTCCACCTTCAACAGCTGCAACGATGCTACTGTGAGAACGCGGGAGGTGCCGTTAGTGCATGCACCATGCTACGTCATTGCTCTATCACGTACGCACAGTCGCTTCGCGCAATATAAGGTTTGCTAGCTGTGGGACGAGTGGGAAACTTACTTTGAGGACGCGCCTCGTATAAAAGAATCCCAGTTTATAACCATTATAAAAGATATTTTTATTTTTTTAACCGCAAGAGGGATGTCTGCACATGATTCTGACGAGGAACTGAAACAACAATAAAAGCCCTGAAGCCCCAAATCAGAATTAGATTAAAAATGAACATATTTCAAATTCAGACACCAGAGACATTGTGTGACACCATGTTAGATGATATGATAAAAAATCAAGATTAATGCATGACATCGTTTGATGTGCAGACAGCGTCTAACCTATAATATTCGATTGTCCTCTGTAGAACGCGCTATAGGAACAAAACAGGGGCCATCTGCATCGAAATACAAATCGACTTTACAAGACGCCACACATTCACAGTTGTGTCTGGGCAGAAAGAAAACGCGGATGCACCTTTTTACGAAATGGCTCCATAGTCCACAGGAAATCATTTTACAACACCAAGACCAGACGTCATTTTCTTATACATCAGAGACCTTCTGTACTGTCGGTGCAGTCGAAGCAGGGCGGACGCCATCTGTCTTCTGGTCAATGCTTAACAGGAAATTTATAAATCGATTCTGAAGGATTGACGATGATGTAATACGATCCAGAATAAATTTATAGCACAATTCCAGAATGTGGAATGGTAAGTGGCGAAGAAAGATTGTTAGAGGGGCACCGACGAACACTATTACATATGCCAGAGACAAGATGGGAATTTGAAAAGCATCCGAAAGGTACTATGAATAATGCTTATGGAACTGGAGGAATCGGAATTGTTGAACGCAAATCAAAATGTTTTGCCAAGAACACAGTGGAACATCTCCGAAGACCCATGCACGCCGTTAAATAATGTTGTGAACAGTGTTGAAAGGTTTGTGCTTATGCACTCAAGTTATTAAATTTCAAGATGCAGTAAGTTCTGTAAAAAGAATTATTTACTTAAAAGATGTTTAGGTATGTATTATATGTTAGTAGGATTTGAGGTTTTCACGGCGGTGAGTCTGAAGATGTCTGTCTTCTGGGTTGTTGCGCTGTGTAGTCTGGTAGACGTTTACCGACGTTTCAGACGTCCTTACTGCCTCCATCATCAGGACGATTCTCAGTATGAAGATTTCTGTCTTCTGGGTTGTTGCGCCGTGTAGTCTGGTAGACGTTTACCGACGTTTCAGACGTCCTTACTGCCTCCATCATTAGGGCGATGAGTCACTTATCGTTCCTGTATATCTTATGCGTGCAAGTTAATAATTCAACATAATTTTGTTATCTTCCTGATGTTTTTGACAACGCCCACGTGTTTTATCCACTTTCGCCCATACTGCCAAGGTCCAAGGATATCTCTTGAGTAACTGAAAATACAGAACACCGCTTCTCGCTTCCAACAGCATGGAACAAAATTTCTCCCGCTTTACTCCACTCGAAGCTACAAAGAATCCAGTGTTAAGAAAAGACATCAGATTCTATGAGCTGTTCTTTCGGAATGGACACTCCATATAAAGCCAGTTTGCAAGTGGGTGGTGGAAGAATGAAGACTGTGAGCGCCCTTGACTGGACGGACAATAGAATTGCTCCATAATAATCCACAATTTTTTCAGATTCTCAATGGTCTTCGCCAACATAATTTTCATTTAACATTTCTTATGTCTATTGCGTATGTTTTAATCAAGACCACTTTCAAGAAGACGACTGTCTTCTGGGTTGTAGCGCCGAGTAGACTGGTAATTTACCAAACGTTTCAGAGATCCTAGGTGCCTCCATCATCAGGGCGATCATATCCTAAGTACCACCATTATTCTTGAGACTTCAGTAACTTCTGATAAGCAGGTTGATATAACGGCGACATAAACTCGTGTTTGAAAGTTATCTGCCCAATCAGAATCTCTGACCAATTAGCGAATATCGTGTTTGGGTTTATTTCGTTTTCCACCTCTCTCTACCTGGGAAAATGTCGGAATAGTACTTGCGCCTTTAAATAGGCCACGACTGCCTCTTTCCAATTTAGTACGTGCTCAGCATCCATGATCATCTTTTCTAATTCTTTTCTGCGTGTTTCTTATTTGTGGTTTAGCCTATTTAACCCATTTTACAGAATGACCGGAAAGTCACGCAATCCTTATTAAAATATTTATTGATGGTTGAAATTCAATACAGTTAGATTGGATTAATAAACCTGTAATATAGCTGTGATTATACCAGAGCCCACGAAGGTCACGTCAGTCAGTAGCCTTTTTTCAACAGTGCAAGTGCAAGGACGTTTCTTCTGAAGTGCGAAGAATGTTCAATGTCGAACTCTGCCTGGCATCTCGTTCTTACCTAACACATTTCGTGATTCTCCTACGCCATACAAAACGACAGGATCTGGTGGACCCTTACCGCTGAGATTCTTCACCGGGCTGCATCAACCTTGAGGAAAAGAGTGGATGCATGCACCGTTGAACGCGGCAAACATTTCCAACATCGTTTTTTTTTATTTCGGTCTAATGTAATTTTTGACAAATATAACATATGCCGGAAATGGATGTTACTTTTCGATCACTTTGTACAAACTCGGCAGTTTACAGAGTGTCGTTAAAAAATCTAATAACCGATAGGTTAATTGTAAAACTGACTTTTCGCAGATTATAGCTGTTACGTGTTCCTTACGTGAACATGGCTGTTGCATAATATTATAATTATGACTATTAGGCATTCAGCCATGTGATCTATCTTTCAATGGAAGCGGATGTTACGTAATTGTCGACGTTTTCCTACAGTATTGTGTTAAAAAAATACAGAATGTCAAGAAATAATGAACCACATAAACTTCCACGATGAGAATGAAATTAGGCCTAGTTAATATCGGAATAAAATGAGAAATTTGGTACACCTTTACATATCAAAAACGCCTATATATTTAATTAATATTCTTAATCTGAGGTTAACTGTCATCTCGGACGTTGAGCCGTGTAGCCTAAAACATC